GGGCTCAAGGATTAGGAGCTCAATACCAGCTGCAATCTGCCTACTTGTAATTAATTTATATCCCAAACGGCTTTGTATATAGAACCATGAGCACATATCTAAGCATCCACACAAGAAATGCAGTTCTTTACCAAACAAAACTTGAACACAAATTTGTCAATGGATTCTTCCGTATCCGAGATGCTTCAATTGCCATCCTTTTTTGTCTTCTTAGCTTCTCTTTTCTTCTTATTAATGATTTTCAAATACTGGAAGAAATCTCAAGCCAAAGGCCTGAGCAAGTTGCCTCCTGGGCCAAAGCAGCTGCCTATTATAGGGAACTTGCACCAGTTTATTGGTGCCCTACCACATCATGCTGTCACCGACTTGTGCAACAAACATGGTCCTGTCATGAAACTGCAACTGGGGGAAGTTTTTGCCGTGATCATTTCATCCCCGGAAGCAGCCAAAGAGGTCTTGAAGACAAGTGAGATCAGCTTTGCGCAAAGGCCGGAAGTGTATGCAGTTGAAATAATGTCATATGATCATTCAGGCATCGTGTTTGCTCCTTACAACGAGTACTGGAGACAACTGCGAAAGATATCCATGATGGAGCTCTTAAGCACTAACCGTGTCCGATCGTTCAAATCGATAAGGGAAGAGGAGGTGTGGAATCTTGTCGAGTTCGTCGCCGCCTCCGAGGGACATACCATAATTTGAGTGACAAGATTTACACCATGACAAATGATGTGGTTTCTAGGGCAGCATTTGGTAACAAGTGCAAATACCAACATGAGTTTACATTATTGCTTGGGGAAATTATACCTCTTGCTGGAGGCTTTAACATCGCTGACTTGTACCCTTCTCTTACATTTCTTCGTTCCATGAGTGGGATGAAGCCTGCGTTGATGAAAATTCAGAAAAAAATTGACGAGATTCTTCAAGATATTGTGAGGGAGCATAAGATGAAAAGAGAAGCCAGTAGAAAAGGCTCTGGTAGGCTTGGTGAAGATGAGGAAGATCTGATTGACACGCTTCTGAATTATGAGGAGGCAAATAATCATGAGTTTCGTCTCACAACCGATCAAATCAAAGCCGTCACTATGGTACCATCTCTGCACTCTAGCAATAATTGTTTTTATTGGGTAGTGGGCTTGTACCTCGAGTCGTCAATAGCAATTATTTGTGCATTTGAGTTCTTGTGTTTGAATCTCTCCCCCAATATCTCTTGTATTTTTAAACTCCTAAGTTGCCTAAAACATACTAATCATCTAATACACTCACACTAGCTCTAATGAGCCTAAAAATTATTAAACAAGAACAAGGTGTCTAGAGATGGTGTGCTTATTAGTGGTTTTTTTTTCTTCTTGGCGTATTGTGTTCTCAGTCAGATGTTCTCACTGTCTTGTGGCTGTACAAAGGATTATGATTTCATAGTAGGACTCTTTTGACAGTTGGATTGTGTTGTAGTGTTCTCATCGGAGGTCTTTGCATTGAAGGTTTATGTGTCAACTTGTTGTCTTATTTTATTTTATCTTGCTCTAGCATTGGTCCTACTTGACTTTTTGAATCATCTTGTTAGTCTATGACATTGTGGTACTCTTTCCTAGTGACGGATTCAGGATCCGAATCTCGTAGGGTCATATTGTAAATGTTCCGAACCACGTAATAGTGGCACCACAACATGTAGTGGACGGCGGCATAACTCCGACAACAGTGGCAATACATCAGCAGCACATAAAATAATCCAAATATAATAACTCACATTAATTAAATAACACACCAATTAACCACAAAAAATCTAAAACTCAAACGAATATAATCAATTAATCAACAAATCAAAACAATATAATCAAGCCATAAGTTTAATTTCAATTCAATTAATTACGTTATATACACACACACACATATATATATATATATAGCATACATAACATTAATTTAGGCTTAGGATTTTAGAACTTACTTTGTGAAATTTCATAACAATAATGGGGCACACACAACAGGTGGTGGACACAGCAGCGACAGGCGGGCAATAGAGGAGAGGAGATGGGGTTAAGGGTTTTGGTATTGGCTGGGTATCGGGTTAAGGGTTCTGTTTAGGGGTGGGGTGGGGATAACTGATTGGTTTTTTTTTAATTTTTTTTAAAAACACTTAGACCAAAATGGCGTCATCTTGTGCCAGAGTTATTTTAGTAAAAGGAGCCATACCCCCTGGTTGCCAACACGTTTTTTGTTTTTGCCCCCCTGTTTTTTTTTTTTTTTTTTTTTTTTTTTTTTTCCCTTCCCTTCTTCTTCAAGGGTTTAGGGTTCTATGTGCGCTACTTTGATTCTATGAATGGATTCCATTTCTCCAAAAAAAAAAAAAAAAAAAAAAAAAAGTAAAGTTATATGCATCATTATGTGGAGGATCCATTTTATCCATCTTCACATAATTTGAAATGACCAATTCCTAACTTGATTACGTAGTTCGCTAGCTCAGTGTTATATGCATCATTATGTGGTATGCATGCGTCAACGCCACCTTATCTTAACTTTGGTTGAAAGAAAAATGTAGATATGCTAATTTCCCTAGCTTTAAATCGAATTTCTTCATTTTCATAGTGGTCAAATATATGATTTGTTAGCAATTTCATATTTTAAAACAGTGTATTTTAGCAATTATTAATTTCCAAAAAGGTTTTCTTGTTGGGAAAGGAAACATATACAAGCATGGATGATGTAGTTAACAAGGTTTGAAAGGAAAGCTCTATTGTTATGCTTTTGTACTCTTTTAGAAATTTTGGAATTGCATTCATAATTCAGCAAAAAAAGTCATTAGCCACAAAGGGCCATTACAATAACGGAGCGATCTAACATCCAAATTAAGGCAATCTTAGGCTCCTCCACTAACGATCATGCATAATCGAAGAAACTCTTGCATAGGCATCCCAACTAAGAGTGCAAACTCATAACAAAAAAACAAAACAAAACAAAACAAACAAAAAATAGATAAAGCTTGAAAAATCCCAAGCCATAACAATACAAATAAAACTCTAACAATACAAAAGCCCTAATGCTTTTGTACTTAATTAAGTTACTTTTTGTGATGAATTATTAAGTTATTTTTTAATATATACTAACAAAACCTAATTGTACAAGCATATAATTCATTGCAACTTCACAATGATTTCAGGATATATTTTCAGCAGGAAGTGAGACTTCAGCAACAACAATGGAATGGGCAATGTCAGAGCTTCTGAAAAACCCAAGAGTAATGGAGAAGGTGCAATCGGAAGTGCGACAAGTATTCGAAGGAAAAAAGAAAATCGAGGAGGAAGATGTTCAAAAGCTACATTACTTGAAATTAGTCATGAAGGAAACTTTTCGGTTGCACCCTCCGGGTCCTTTAATCCCGAGAGAGGCAAGGGAAAGATGTGAAATTGGTGGATATACAATACCAGCCAAGGCCAAAATCCTCATCAATGCCTATGCAATAGGGAGAGATCCAAAACTTTGGGCAGATCCTGAATGCTTTCAACCAGAGCGCTTTCAAGGTTCTTCCATTGACTTTAAAGGCAACAATTTTGAATTGCTTCCATTTGGTGCAGGTAAGAGGATTTGTCCAGGCATCTCATTTGCTACTTCAAACATTGAGCTTGGACTTGCTCAACTATTGTACCACTTTAACTGGAACCTTCCAAATGGGACTAAACTAGAAGCCCTCGACATGGCTGAGAATTTTGGAGTAACGGTTAGAAGAAAGAACAATTTGCATTTGATTGCCACCACTTATATTCCTTTCAACAAATGAGACACTATCTAAAAGAATGACGTAATAAATAGAAGAATGATGTAATCTTATTTTGATTTTAACTTGCAACTCTCTTAGGCAGCACTTTGTTGGTTTAGTACAATAAAAACTTAGTTGCAACAGGGATAGCATTGTTTTGCTATCTCCAACTAATAATGTTATACCACGTGGAAGTGTTATCATGCGTCATAGCGTTATTGGTCGGGAATAGCAAAATAGTGCTATCCCTATGACATGAAAGTCTTTCTTGTTTAGTACAGACCTCCACTTATCCCTCTAAAATTAATCATTTTGTTCCTTCATCTTGTCCAAAGTATTAACTTATGTGATCCCCAAAGAAGAAAGTACAAACCTATTTGGTAAGAATTAAGAAATCAATTTGATGATCGGTTGCAGAAGCCAAATTGTGGAGTGAGCGAGTTAATTTTTTAAAGCTAATAATTGAAAAGCCGTTTGTATTTTACTAATTCTATATCTGTATATAGAACAATAACCACATCTAGCTAGCATCCACAACAGAGTTGGAGTTCTTTCCAATAAAAACTTGAAGACAAATTTGTCAATGGATTCTTCAATATCCCAGCTGCTCCAATTGCCATCCTTTACTCTCTTCTTAATATTCGTTTTGACATTGGAAGAAATCCAAAGTCCAAGGCAAGTTGGCTACCGGGCCAAAACAGCTGCACATTATAGGGAACTTGCACCAGTTGATTGGTGCTCTACCACATCATGCTGTGAGCAACTTGTGCAAGAAACATGGTCCTATCATGAAACTGCAACTGGGTTGCTGTCGTTATTTCATCGCCGGAAGCAGCAAAAGAGATGTTAAAGATAAATGAGATCAGTTTCTCGCGAAGACCTGAAGTGTATGCTGTTGAAATAATCACCCATGATCATTCAAGCATGGTGTTCTCTCCCTACAATAAATATTGGAGACAACTACGAAAGATAACTGTGATGCTCTTACGTGTGAGCCATGTTTGGTCATTCAGATCGATAAGGGAAGAGGAGGTATGGGATTTGATTGAATTCATTGCCTCACCTGGAGGACGTAGCATAAATCTCAGCAACAAGATTTGCACCATGACAAGTGATTTCCAGGGTAGCATTTGGTAACAAGTGCAAATTTAATCAGCATGAGTTTACGACATTGGTTGGGGAAATCATACTTCTTGTTGGAGGCTTTAACATCTCTGATTTGTACCCTTCCCTTACATTCCTTCGTTTCATGAGTGGGATAAAGCCCGCATTGCTGAAAATTCAGAAAAAAATTGACAAGATTTTTGAAGATATTGTCACTGAACATAAGATTAAGAAAAAAGCTAGTAACAACACCAATGGTGATAAGCAAGATCTGGTGGACACGCTGCTTAATTATGAGCAAGCTAATAAGCCTGAGTTTCATCTCACAACCAATCAAATCAAATTGGTCACCATGGTAAGACCTGTATACAGTCAAACAATAAAACCTTTTTATCGTACAATAGTATAATCCATTGTAACTTCACCATGGTTTTCAGGACATCTACTCTGCAGGCAGTGAATCTTCAGCAACAACAATCGAAAAGGCAATGTCAGAGCTACTAAGAAACCCGAGAGTAATGGAGAAGACACAATCCCAGGTGCGACTAGCATTCAAGGGAAAGAAAAAAATTGAAGAGGAAGACATTCAAAAGCTAGATTACTTGAAACTAGTCATCAAAGAAACATTTCGACTACACCCTCCACGTCCTTTCATCCCAAGAGAAGCTAAGGAAAGATGCAAATTAGTGGATATATCATATATATACCAGCTAAGGCCAAAATCCTCCACAATGCATATGCAATAGGGAGAGATCCAAAAATTTGGGCTTATCTGAAATTCCATCAACCAGCGTTTTGAAGGTTCTTCCATAGGCTTCAAAGGGAACAGTTTCGAGTTGCTCCCATTTGGTGCTTGTAGGAGGATTTGTCCAGGCATCTCATTTGCTACTTCAAACATTGAGCTTGGACTTGCTCAACTTGTACTTCCAATGATACTAAATCAGAAGCCCTTGACATGGCTGAGAATTTCGGAATCACAGCGAGAAGAAGGAACAATCTGTCACTACTACAAAAGTGATAAAGACGACCAGAAAAAAACGACGGTTCTATAAAACCGCCGTGTAATAACACCTTAGACACCTAAAAAATGGAGATTCAAATGGCTGTTCCTAAAACACGACGTACCTAATTAAAAAACCGACGTCTTATTGAAATAGGATTTCCGAGTAGTAAAATCAAAGCCAACAAATAAACGGCGGAAGTTATGAACCGACCGACGTAGAAAGTAAAGACGACGATTTCAAAAAAAGCCGCCGTTTTTACCCCAGAAATTAACACAACCAAGTTTTCGTATAAGGCGCCGTATAATTACAAATAAATCCACGGCGGTAAAATACAAAATACCGCCGTATTAAATTAATGTACAACTACGGCAAAGATAAATATAACGACGTCTTTCTCGTATAGTTCTACGACGGTATCTTTAAATCTCACCACGTTGGGGTTTTCATTTAACGACGTATTATAAAATTTAACGTCGTATTTATTCACTTTATACGTCATACATTATATTTAAACCGTCGTCTTAATAAGAATTTTTTTTAACAATTTATTTCTTGGATTTTGTTATCCTACGTCGGTAGATCTACTTAATGACAAGAATTGAAATAACCACGACGGTTTATATAGAAAACCGCCGACATAATCAGATTTTTCTGAGATCACAAGGGTTAGGAAATCTTACAAGATGGAACTCTGTTCCTCATCATAATCTTACCAGAAAGACAATAACGCACATACACATTAACATCCAAAAATTGCCTCTGAAATTTGACGGCAGCAGCCTCAGATTTGCAATCAGAGAGACAATTGTTTGGAAGTTGATGATATGTGTGCGTTTGTGTATCTACACAAACGAACACACACATCAACATCCAAACAATTGCCTCCTAAAATTTCACGACGGCAGCCACAGATTTGCAATCAGAGAGACAATTTTTTGAAAATTGGTGATGTGTGTATGTTTGTGAATCAGATACACAAACATACACACACACCAACATTCAAACAATTGCCTCCTAAGAGATGAGGTGAGACAGAGAAAGGGGCAAGAAGAAGTTGAAACCCTAATCGAATACTAAAACTGAAAGAACCCGTGAAAAAAAACCCTATTTAATAAAAAAACCAAATCCACGTCGGTTATATTACACCTAACGACGTTTAACAAAAATAATCCACGTCCGGGAACAAATACATTACGTCGTCTTAGTCTTACTTAAGACGACAAAAAAAGACGACGGTATAACAAAAAACAGTCGTTGTTTTTATATTCGTATTTGATTTAAATCAGTCACCCAAAAAGAAACTTTACAAATTCTAGAAATAATTAATTTCCTCAGAAAAAAAACTCTATTTATAACGCACTGTTTTTGAAAAATAAACTGAAAGAACAAGGGAAAAAAAATTCTATTTATAATTATAAAAATAAAATCCACGTCAGTTATATTACACCTAACGACGTTTTAAAAACGAATCCACGTTGCAAAAAAATATTGCGTCGTCTTAGTTTAAAAAAAGACGACGGTATAACAGAAAACCGTCGTTGTTTCAATTTCTTTAACCGTTCTCTTTCTGCAGGACTTGGATAGTTCAAAGCATTGACAGCTGAAGCCATCTGATTTGGTTGCTCAGGCTTTAGAGGTCATCTGAAGCCATTTCTATTCTTTATCGCATTCTTGAAAACCCATCTTCTTCTTCAGAAGCTCTACGGATAAAGGAACAGGCTATCACAAATCTGACGGATCTTCTTAGCCAAGAAAATCGAGCATAGGAGCACATCTGATCTTCAGGTTTCCCTAAGAAGCGAACTTTCCTTCGACAACTAGTGGAGGCCAGGCTTGCATCTCTTTTGATGGAAAGAAAGGAGTATTCAGAGCACTAAGTCTCCTATCAGGCTTGACAAGCTTCCTCTTGTGGACATAGATTTGTTGGAGAGTAAGCTCCATTTCTCTTTGAGAAAGACATCCAAATTATTGTCTTTGAGATGTGAGAGAGAGTGTCTGTGAGAGAGGAAGAACTTGGAAACCTAAATGAAAACTGAAACTGAAAGAAAGCGACAAATTTATACAATAAATTTTTAAAACCCACAGCGGTCCTTACACACAAATCGCCGTTTAATTATAAATTCCACGTCGGTATATTACAAAAAAATGACGTATATTATAAAAATCAACGTCGGTACATTACAAAACAATGTCGTGTTAAATACTTCTACCATGACGCGAGATATTAATTTATCGACTTTTATTTTGGAGTTTACTACGACGGTACCTACAACACTACTGTCGTATTTATTTACCACGTCCTAAGTTCAAATTATCGTCGTAGTTTGTTTATTTATACGTTGTCGTTCTATGTAAACCGCCGTCTTATTTTTATGAAACGGTTTGTATATATATACAACTTTTCGTCTACCTGACTTACACATGCACTGTTTCCAAACTCGAGAAAAAATTTCAATCTCCTAGAGAAAACTTTTCGTCTTTTTTCCTTGTCAGAGCACTGTCAGAGTATCTCATCGTCTTCCTCTCGTCTTCGTCGTCGTCTCTGAACTTAAACACCAAACTCCGAGAGAAAGCTTTCATTGCACGCAAAAGGTAAGCTTTCATTTCTCACTATTTTTGTTGCTATTTTGCATGCTCATACGGTTTTTGTTTTGAAAATCTTTTTACCTTTTTTCTGGCCAAAATCATTTTTATTCTTTCCAAGTTTGATAAAATACACAGACAAAGAGGGAAAGTTTCCAACTTTGAACACAACTACTTCAACTAAATAAGACGACGGTAGCTTCTTATTTACGTGGTTAAATATGTAGACCACGACGGTTTGTCAGTCGTCCTAGCGTCGTCTTAAAATTGATCTAAGTTGTTTTTAAAATGACGGTCATTTTTTATTTGCTTGTTTAATTGCAGGTTTGATTTCTCTGAACCATGGTTTTTCGTTTTTCCTAATTTGATAAAATACAAAGACAAAGAAAGTAGGGTTTGGTATCCTATATAGACGACGGTATCTTATTATTGACGCCGTGTGAATGTTAATACCACGACGTTATACTAAGATACCGTCGTCTATATAAGATGCCAAACCTTTCTTTCTTTTTCTTTGTATTTTATCAAATTAGGAAAAACAAAAACCATGTTTTCAGAGAAATTAAACCTGCAATCAAACATTCACAGAGAAAGAAAAAGGTTTTTGGATTCTTATACAGACGACGGTATCTTATTATTTACGTCGTGTGAATGTCCATACCATGACGTTATATTAATATTCACGTCGTGTGAATTTAAATACCACGACGTCGTGTAAATATCGCCGTAATAAGTTCTTATTATGTCTTCTTTAATATTGTTTCGTCGTTGTTTAAGTACTCTCGTTTTAAAAATTTATTACGTCTGATGTTATGTTATTGCGTCGTGTAAAATCTTATCATACGTCGTGTTTTATAAATAACCGTTGTTTGTGTTCTTAATTTTTTCCTAAAATATTTTCACTTGCAGGTTTGTTTTTTCTGTAACCATGGTTTCTCAAGACCAAAGTAAGGACTCTGGCTCCAAAAAAAATGGAGGTAAGGAGCTTGGAATGGTAACTCCTCAAGACAAGCCCTTGAAGAAGATGAAGTTTGTTTCATCTGCTGAGACAGAACCAACCAGCACGACAACAATTTCTGAGGATTCAAAGTCAGGTCGAGGTATGAGCACAATGCCTCGTGTTGTGAAGAGAAAATTTTAGAAAATCAAGCCAGTTGTTGAGTACAATAAAAGGGGGAAAGGATGTGGCCCTGCACATACTGAGATGCAGTCCTACATTGGTGTTGGCACGCTCCAGAGTCCCACTTGTGGACAAGAAATGGGCTGAAATCCCCAAGGATATAAAGGAGCAGATTTGGGAAGCCGTTGACATGGCTTTTGTGGTAGGTCAAGGGGGCAAGACCTCGGTGTTATCTTCTGCTGCCAAGAAATGGAAGGATTTCAAGTCTACACTGACGAGGCATTATATCCTTCCATACATCAAGGAGAGGGAGAAATTAAGCCAACCCCCTGAAATATATAAATTCATAGAGAAAGCAGAATGGGATGCCTTTGTAGCTTCAAGGTTATCCAAAGAATTTGAGTCTGTGCATTCTCAACATTCACAGATTAGGGAGAAACTTGAGTACAATCATCGATTGTCTCGAAAAGGATATGCTGGTTTGGAGGATCAATTGGAGGAAACCATGCCTGGGGTAGAAATTGATCGATCTACCTTATGGAAGAAAGCTAGACAGGACAAACATGGTAACATCCCGGATCCAAAGGTGGCAGAGAAAGCAAAATTAATTGTAAGCATACACTCTGTTTTAAATTTTTATTAAACTGTGTATAATTTTTATTACGTCTTATGTTATATTTTGGCGCCGTGTGAATGATATTACTACGTCGAAATGTTTTAAAAAAACGTCGTGAAAGGTCTAAATCTAGAATCACAACTCTGTTTTCTGTAATTATAGCATAAGACGTCAGTGGTTAACTTTTTGCATCGTGTGAATGATATTACTACGTCGAAATGTTTTAAAAAAACGTCGTTAAAGGTCTGAATATGGAATCACTGCTCTGTTTTCTGTGATTATAGCATAAGACGTCGGTGGTTTATTTATTGTGTCGTTTGAAATGAATAACCACGTCGTTAGTAACTACCGTCGTTATAAAATTTTAATAACGTCGACTTCTATGTTATTGCGTCGTGTGAAATTTTATAATACGTCGTTTGTTTATAAATAACCGTCGTGTGTTTTCTTGTGCTTACTTTTTTATATATCTTTGTTTTAGGATGAATTGCAAAAACAGTGGCTGAAAGGCAGTCTCAGTGTATCTGGCAGCAATGATGTGTTGACCATGGCTTTGGGTCCTGAGCATCCAGGGAGAGTGAGAGGGGTAGGTGCTGGGATTTCCCCCTAGGCAGTACTTCAATTTACCCTAAACAACAGAGGATTAAGTTTGCCGATCATTGAAGGAAAGTGTCAGAATTGTCCTTCAAGAAGAGACTAAGAAGATGGAAGCTAGGTCAAGGGAAGAGACTTTAAGGATGGAGGCTAGAACCAAGCAATTGGTAGAGGCTGAGAGGGAAAATTTACTGAGTCAGCTTTCCCAACTCATCCCCAATTTTGATCCAAGCATGCTTAAACCGAAAACTAGCCCCTGTCAAAACCAAAGTCCCAAAAATCCAATGTCTGACAAAGCAAGCTGCTCTGGGGCTGATGTGAGATCCCTACATTTTGAGGATGATACTGCCAAAAATGGGGAACAGCAGGAAGAAACGGTAACATATCTGAACTTTGAATTCTCTGTTTTTTTTAAAACTATTAGACGTCGTTATTATGAAGAAAACCGTCGTTTGAAAATCATACCACGACGATTTTATAAATAAACCGTCGTTTGTATTTCAATACCACGTCGTATTTAGTTTACTTGTTTTACACGCCATTAGACGTCGTACTTTGTGGTTTTTAGACGACGGTTTTAGTCCTTACCGACGTAATAGACAAATCCCACACGTTTATTATTTACCATCGTTTAATAATTTTAAGACATCCATAATTCTTACATACCGTCTTATGTTATGCCTTACCACGATGTTTTGATTTAATTTTTTTACTTTCTGTACAATCTGTCTTATATGTATATTTCTTTATTACTTAAAACATAAATCTGGGGATTTAGAAAATCAAGATGAAGAGAAGAAAGAAGAAAAAAAAGATGAAGAGAAGAAGGAAGAAAAAAAAGATGAAGAAAGAAGAAAAAAAAGATGAAGAGAAAAAGGAAGAAAAAAATGATGAAGAGAAGAAAGAAGAAAAACAAGATGAAGAAAAGCATGACGAAGAGGTATATTCTCATAACTTTGCCTTTTTTATTTGTTTTTCAAATTTCAGACGTCGATATTTTTCTTTAAACCGTCGTTTGTTTTCAAATTAGACGTCGGAATTTGTTTCCTATGACGTAATAAATTATTCAACACGACGGTTTTTTATTACCGTTGTTTAAATTATTATCAGACGACGTTGTTTTCTTTAAACCGTCGTTTTTATTGAATTACCACGTCATTTTATTTTGCTTTATTTCTTTAAACAGGGTACTGAAGTAGTTGATTATTCAAATGTGGAGGTGCCATCTTCCTTACAATCCCTTTGTCGTTATGTGGAAACGACACTAAAGCCTCAGGAGAAGATCATGACCTTCACAATTGAGAAGGAGGTGTTTGGTGCAGATCGCAGTACCTTCGTCTTGCATGAAGATATTACACAGTTAGCAGGCATGGAAGAAATTGGGGCTACTGTGGTTGCAGTATATATGAGGTTTGTCCTTATCAAATATTTATTTCACACTCAAATTTGTGTTTGAAAAAAAAACATTATAGCATAAGACGTCGGTGGTTTATTTATTGCGTCGTTTTGAAACCACTAACCACGTCGTTCTTTTTTTACCGTCGTGATAAATTAGTTATAACGTCTGTTTCTATTTCAGTTTCGTTGTGTGAAATTGTATAATACGTCGTTTGTTTATAAATAACCGTCGTGTGTTTTTTGTGCTGACTTTTTTTATATATCTTTGTTTTATATATTTAGGTGCTTATATGATCGTTTGAGAGAAGCAAATATGTGCAGCATGGTTGGCTTTATCGACCCTGCTCAAGTTAGTGCCAACGCTGGGTCACTAACTGACAGATCACGAATTGTAGCCAGTCGACTTCAGAAGACAGATGGTGAACAGATTTTCATGATGCCTTACAATCCAGGGTTAGTCTCCTTAAAAGGATTTTGTTTGTATGATTTTCACTAACTGACTGCGTATAAAACTGTTTAACTAATTTTGTGCCGTTTGAAACATCTAACCACGTCGGTTCTTTATTTATTGAGTCGTTTGAAACAACTAACCACGTCGTTAGTTAATTACCGTCGTGATAAATTTATAATGACGTCGATTGCTACGTTATTTCGTCGTGTGAAACTGTATAATACGTCGTTTTTTTTATAAATAACCGTCGTTTGTTTTCTTGTGCTGACTTTTTATATTAACCCGTCGTTTTTTATGTTATTTTGTGCAGCCGTCATTGGGTCTTGCTGATTGTGAGAGCAAAGAGGGAAGCAACTACTAATGCTAGTAGAAATGTTGAAGAAGATGATGACCGTAGTAGGTACAGTTTTGTGTCTGAACAAATAGAGATGGATGATAATGATTTTGGTGATTTTGGATCTGATCCTTATGAGTTTGCCAATGTGATTGGGGATGGAGATCAACCATTGTACCCTGGTTGTAGAAAGTACACGAAGTTATCGGCATTAGTGAAGTTGTATAATTTGAAGGCAAAACATGGGATGTGTGATGTCTGTTTTACAGAATTATTGATACTTCAAGGCGATTTGCTTCCAGAAGGAAATACAATACCGGCCTCTATGTATGAGGCAAAAAAGACTTTGTGTGCATTGGGGCTGAGTTATGAGAAAATGCACGCATGCCCCAATGATTGCATCTTGTATAGGAAGGAGTATGAGGATTCAACTAATTGTCCTACTTGTGGTATCTCAAGGTGGAAGGAAGGCAAAGATTCAATCTTGAAAGAGGGTGTGCCAGCGAAGGTGGTGTGGTATTTTCCTCCAATTCCAAGGTTTAAAAGGATGTTTCGATCACATGAGACAGCTAAGAGTTTGACTTGGCATGCTGCTAGAAAATCAATTGACGGTCAGATGTCTCATCCGGCGGATTCCCCGTCTTGGAAACTTCTTGATGATAAATGGCCCGAGTTTGGTAATGAGCCGAGAAACTTGAGATTGGCTCTTTCATCTGATGGATTCAATCCCCACAGTTCTCTAAGTAGCAGATATAGTTGCTGGCCAGTTATCTTAGTTACATATAATCTCCCTCCATGGCTGTGCATGAAACGAAAGTTCATGATGTTGACCTTATTGATTTCCGGTCCTAAACAGCCCGGAAATGATATAGACGTCTACTTGGAGCCTTTGATTGATGATTTAAAATCTTTGTGGGATGGGATTGGAGGAGTGTATGATGCACATAATGGAGAATACTTTACACTCAGAGCTGCATTAATGTGGACAATTAATGATTTCCCCACCTATGGAAACTTATCTGGTTGTGTTGTTAAAGGATATAAAGCTTGTCCAATATGCGGCGATGATACACCTAGTCACAGGTTGAAAAATGGCCACAAAATTTGTTACATTGGGCATAGAAAATGGTTACCAATCAATCATCCATATAGGAGGCAACGTGCAGCTTTTAATGGGAAACCTGAATATGGCACGCCTCCCGAGCCATTAACCGAGAAGAAGTGTTGCATATGGTTGAAGATGGTGACAGAGTTTGTTGGAAGAAGAAATCAATATTCTTTGATCTCGAGTATTGGAAATACCTTCCTGTGAGGCATGTCCTAGATGTTATGCACATTGAGAAGAATGTTTGCGATAGTATCATTGGTACATTGCTGGAGATCCCTGGAAAAAATAAAGATGGGATTGCTGCTCGATTAGATTTATTGAACATGGGGGTCAAAACTGATTTGCAACCCGAGTATGGAGAAAGACGTACTCGTTTGCCTCCCGGGCCTTGGAATTTGTCAAGAGCAGAGAAGAGAGAGGTTTGCACTTCTTTCTATGGTATGAAGGTCCCTGAAGGTTATTCTTTAAATATAAAAAATCTTGTATCTATACAAGATTCAAGACTTCTTGGCCTTAAATCACATGATTGTCATACCTTAATGCAACAATTGCTCCCTGTGGCAATTCGTTCTGTTTTGGAGAAGCCTGCAAGGTATGCAATAACTCGTTTGTGCTTCTTCTTCAATGCTATATGTGCAAAGACTGTTGATGTTTCCAAGCTAGATAAGTTGGAAGAAGATGTAGTAGTTACTTTGTGTTTGCTTGAGAAGTACTTTCCCCCTTCATTCTTTGATATCATGGTTCATCTAGTAGTACATCTTGTCAGAGAAGTTCGTCTATGTGGGCCAGTATATTTTAGATGGATGTATCCGTTTGAAAGATATATGAAAGTGCTAAAGGGGTATGTTCAGAATCGTACTCGTCCCGAAGGTTGCATTGCTGAGCGGTATATAGCTGAAGAAGCTGTAGAGTTTTGTACCGAGCATTTATATGATGTTAGTACAGTTGGAGTGCCTTCAAGCCAAAAGATGGGAGTTTCAAAGCCATTATCAGGTTGCACAGTGAGCGTAGTTGATCGGGACCTGTTGAACCAAGCACATCTATATGTCTTGGAGAATACGGAGGAAGTCCTACCTTATATCGAGTACGTATGAGTTTTATTCTTTAAGTTTCCATTTTAAATTATTTCTTATGTTTATCTTATATGTTTGGGACCGTAATGCTTGAATTTTTTGTGTCATGTAGGCAACATATGATCCACATCAAGACCGCTTATCCAAAATTTAGAAAGAGAACAAAGTGGCTGCAGGATAAGCACAATAGCACTTTCATTCAATGGCTACGCTTCAAGGTATATGTTATTGAATAACATATTGGACTTTTAATTTTCTTCTTTCTATGTTAGATTGAATTAAGTTATGATTAATTTGCAGGTTCAAAGTGAACTTAATGAGGAAGACAATCATGGCGTATCAGAAAATTTAAGGTGGCTAGCAGCTGGTCCAAACATGGCAGTGCCATTATATAGGAGCTATCTTATTAAAGGTATTAAATTCAACATCAAGGCACAAGATGATGTGCGGACAACTCAAAATAGTGGAGTTTATTTACTTGCACATACCATGCAAGTTGCTAGTGCCAAGGATAAAAACCCAATTCTCTCAATATAGGGTTTCTATGGTGTCATTCAAGAAATTTGGGACCTTGACTACCAAAAGTTTACAATCCCAGTCTTTAGGTGTGATTGGATAGATAGTACTTCTGGTCTTGTAGTGGACGAACTTGGATTTACCCTTGTAGATTTGAGTAAAATTGGACATAGGAATGACCAATTTGTTTTGGCTTCTCAAGTCAAACAAGTATTTTTTGTTGACGACCCGATGCATCGTGGTTGGTCGGTAGTGTTATCAATGCCTAATAGAGAATATAATGATGTTATTGGTGATGATGTCTTAGGTGATGTGAGAATTGAGTGTGAGCCATTTACTAGAGGGATGCCAAATGTTGACACATTTGATGAAGTGGTGGGTGAGTTAGGGAGTCAAAATATTCGAGATGGGTGTGAAGATATATGGATTGAATGATGCTTTATGTAATTGGCAGTGTATGACATTAATTTTGTAATATATTGTAATGTGATTTCTTCACTTTCATTATACAGGTTTTGGCCACAAAACAATCAGTACAAAAATTACTGGTTCCAGATTACAAACACGACGGTCTTGATAAAAATGTGAAAAACAAACGTCTGTTTTAATAAAAAACGACGTTTTGGAGCATTCAACGACCGCAATATATTTACCGACGTCTTAAAGCAACGTAACAATGAAGAACCACGACGCTATTGTGAAACAGTTATTCAGGATAACACGTCGGAGAAGCATAAAGAACCGCCATGTAATTCAAATAACACGACTCCAATCCCATAATACCGACGTCTAAAAGACGAGATATCTAACCTGAACGTTACAAAAGACGACGTCGTCATAAATTTACCACGTCGCATGTTCTTTCATAAACGAAGTGGAAAAGGATGAATTCACGACGGTATTTGAAGTCCATTGGTAAATTTGTCGACGTTAAGATATATGAATTAGACGACGTTAATTTTTTTAATGATGACGTATAAATTATGAAACACGGCGGTCTTTTTCATGGTAACGACGTTGTATATAGACGACAACGTCGTCTTTATAAATTAATGTGTCGTAATTAATGACCCCAACATTTTTCCACGTCGTTTATTTTCAGATCGTGTCGTTAAAATTATTTTACACGGTGGTGGAATGAGAAACGATGCCGTTTCAGAGTCATTACACAACGATTATATTTCAAAATATGACGTATAAATTCTGTAATACGGCTCTCATTTATTTGGAACCGACGTTGTTTATGTATTTCAACGTTGTTTCTGTACATACATGCGTCGTAAGTAATGACCCTAACATCTATTTCCACGTCATCATTCATAGAAAAATCGAAGTGGAAAATTTATTTTACGACGGTTGTTGGAAATGTTGTGACGTAGTAGGTGTCAATAACGTCGTCTATTATGTATTTAAAGACGTCATATTTCTATTTGTCGTTAAAGGTTTATTTAACGGCGTTGAGTTTTAGTTCTCGTCGTTGTATGTGTATCTTGCGGCCATGTTCTGTTAATATATGTCATATGTTTCCTTTTTAACGACGTTTTTTTGTTAGAGTTGGTCGTCTATTCTTATCCTCGACTGTTTTTTTTATGTCTTTTTGCAGTACAAAGAAGACGGTTTTTATTTGTTGATGACGTTTTTTGTTTTAACAACGACGGGTATTTACCGTCGTGGTTTTGTTATGGAAAAGATGTCGGTGGATTCCACGACCATTTGAAAACTGAATACACGACGGTGAATTCCCGTCGTGTTTTTTCCTTTTTTGTAGTAGTGTTATCAAGAGATGGGGAGGAAGCTTGCAGATTTATAACTTTTTCTTTTGCAGGTTTTCTATGTGAGTCGTATGTTTTTTTGTTGTTGAAAATTTGCAGGTTCTCGATGGTCTTTTTTATGCTCATTTTACAAGTTTTCTATGGAAATATGGACCAATGGTAAAATTTCTCTTCCACCTAATTTTTTATGTTTATATATCTTTTTTTTTTTTTTCTCTCTTGTCATTTTGATTTATTTACAGGGATGATGAAGAAGACTTCAGTTGTGCATCATTTGTATGTTTGGATGAGGAATGCTTGGATTAGGAGTACGTAGGTCTTGTTAGGAATTATGTTTGTTGTAGAATAAAGATTGGTTAACTATGTAATAACTATTGAATCTTCAAGTTTTATGAAAGAAACTATTTTTGAGTGTATATATTCATTAATAAAGCATTATGGTTGGTTTTCTAGTTAAAATCGTTGTATAGCATCATAGGAAATAAAAAAGAACTAAAATGTAGCAGTTTTGGAAACTTATTAGACGACGGTTTTTTATAATAATCATGGTCTTTACAGATAATTAACGAGGATTTTTATAAAAAGAGTCGTCTATTATATGTAAAGATGACGCTTTTATAAAACCCTCGTCTCACTACAAGAAAACAGGGCTTTTGTGACCAAATTTTACGTGAGGCTGAAAATTTCGTCACCTTTGGCTTGTGTAAGTAAGAAAATTTTGCAAATCGTCACCTAAACGTCTTGAAAGGACCAAACAAAATTTTCGCTCCATCTTCGTCACATTATAATTTCGGTGTCGTCACAAATTACATAGCGGGAAATCTTTGCGCCCAATTTTTTACTAAATGTGACGAATACTGCACATTCATCACAGAGCATGAAAGTGAGGATTGAAAATTTTATTGGGTGAAGATTGATAGCGTCACTTATGGCCCAAAATAAATAAAAAATAAAGAAATAAAAACAAAACCTAACACTTCATTCAACGTAAGTCAAATGCTTCATCGTCATCTACACTAGCCCAGGAACAAAACCCAACGCTTCATAAATGAATTGGGGCTTTACTTTGGGGTCTTGGGAAAGAGCTGAATCGTTTTTTTCCCCCTTTCAGGAGGTGATACATGAATTGCTACTGAGTTTTGTTGAAGCTGGAGCTAATGTGTTGAGACTAAAAGGAGGGGGGTTTCTTGGACCTGCTTTCTTCCTCACTTAGTTGAGCCATATTAATTCTCCTGTAATGGCTGTTCTATGTATGGCATGCAGTCAGGTATGATTCTTGCACTACATGGAATGAGAAAAATAAATATATGTTCCTCTTCCTTCTTTTGGAAGCTTTATACAGTTGCTTAATAGTTCTTTTGTTCATTTTATTATTTTCTATCTTTTAGCTAACTGGTTTTTGTTTCTCTTGCTTAAATAGGGAACTAATGTATTCTCACAATCTGGTCTATATTCAAACCATCAAGATATTGCTCCACGATATTCTGTGAGTATTGGCTATAGTTTCTGATTTGGCTTGCATATATGGAAATTTCTTCTGTGTAATTAGACATACTGAGTTCCAAGTACATAAGCCCATCAATCACGTGCCAATGCATGCTTTCTGATTGTAGAGGAATTCTAGATGTTGAACAGATGGGTCTAATTTTTAGTGGAGAAAAGATCTGTTTAATCTTAATCTCTTGGACGAAACTACTGTTGTTTAGGTATGGCTTTTGTATGATTGGCTGGGAAATTCCAAATTCAAGTCACAATTCCACTTTTAGGTGGAAGTTGTGTGCTCTTTTATTTTGGCAACGAACCATTTATATTTCTTATGCATTGAACTTGTGCTATTTTAGGAGATGCTTTGGTATTGTATATATGCTATTTTAGTAGAAAGTTCGGTTTATTATTGTTTGTTTTGTGTCCTTCAAATTTTCTTCTCTGTCTCTCTTCCTTTTCTTTTCACTGCAGTGTCTTTAAAGTTGTTAAAAAGAAGGAATTAATTTTTGCATAAAATTCTTGTGTTGTATTGAATATGTTTTGCATCTTTCAGGGCATATTTTGCAGTCAGTCTGCTGTGTGTGGTTACTGAGCTTCTGGACAACCCTAAGCAAGATCCTCTGCGCATACTTGGATGCCAAACCCTAACGAGGTTCATCTATAGTCAGGTGATTCACAAGTTACCTTCTCTTGAAAAAAGCTATTGGCATACACTGAGCAGAATGAGAGTTATTTGATCTGCCTAATTAGTGTTTTAATGTCACAAATCTTTAGGCAGATAATGAATTCCTATTTATAATGGTTGATGCTACTTGTGGCACATCTTATTCTGTTAATGGATGAGTTAGATGTGGACGATTTGTTCTACTTTCTATACAAAGTAAATTCTTTGATTACTTTATTTTTTTCAACTCTTGTCTTGGTTATTGACCCAATATTTGAACAGACAGATGGCACTTACACGCATACCATTGAGAGTTTGGTTCATAGAGTATGTAAGCTTGCTCGTGAAAGTGGTGAAGATCATCACAGGCGCTGCTTGAGAGCATCGAGCTTGCAGCGCCTTTCTGCCATGGTAGTTTTATGATTTGAATGCTTGAAACTCTGAAGGACTGTTTTATTTTTCAGTTGGAACAATGGTTTCTACCTTGCCAGGTGCAATTCATGGCAAAATTTTCATATATTTTTGTTGATTTTGACGAGGTTAGTTCTTTCCAGTTTCATTCTTCAAAATGTCTCAATGAAATTAGTGTTAGTTTATATGAATTTTTTGGGGTTATTTAAATGTGTCAGTTGTTGAGCTAGTCCTTTCATTATCAAATATCAAGGAAAGCCAGCAACACCACTCTCTCATTAATATTGAGCGTTGCAAATATTTTTCTTGTGAATGCAGATTGTACATGTCACCTTGGATAACTATGAGCCTGACACACATATTGAAGATGATGAGAGAGGGGAGCCACATCATAATTGGGTGGATGAAGTAGTTCGAAGTGAAGGCAGAGTTGGTGTAGTTGGCGCTGATTAGCTGCAAGATCATCAGGCCACGACCAGAAAAGAAGGATCCTTCTCTTCTGACAAGGTAGGAGTTATTTAAAGTCTACAAGTGAGGGCTTGTTCCATACTTGTAATTTTAGATAATGCTAATTGCATTATCTTTTCATCAATTTCCCCTTTTGTAACAGTTTTGGTTCATTTTTTTAGAGAAGAGATAGAGACACCAAAAGTCTGGGCTCAAATTTGTATTCAGAGAATGATTGAATTAGCCATTTTGAGTCCTAGCTAGCTAGCTATTTTCATTTTCAGGCATAAGTGGAGATCAAATTATTCGTAGTTAATTCTGAAGTATGATCTGCATCTCTCTCTCTCTCTCTCTCTCTCTCTCTCTCTCTCTCTGTGTGGCTTTTCTCTTCTGCCGAATAATGGGATCACTGATTTATGATGTCATTCCTTTTTTATAGTGGCCAAGCTGCTTATGGAATGTTGAAAGACATGGCTGAGAATACAAAGAAGTGGGAAGGAAGAAAGATCCTCTTCATACAAAGAGGTGATACATCTTTTTGTTATATGGAGGCCATATTTTCTGCCTATATTACCACATGAAAGATTCTTTTGTAGCTTTTTATGCTTTGTATGTACACCTTCATTTTTAGGAGTGTGATTTTTATTTTTTTCATG